CCACTCAAAAAGTTACTCGATTCCTCGGGTGACGCCAAGCATTCCCTTTATATATAGTACTCCATCTGTAAACAAATACAAGAGCATTTAGAATAATATTTTAATGATCTAAATGCTCTTATATATTTTTTTTACAGAGGGAGTACTCCTGATTGTTGTTTGAGCCTTTCACTTCAAGAAATAAAATTCTTATTTGATCCAATCATGGTTGGGATTTTAAAACACATATTGTTTAAACGAGTCAACTCACCGGCCGAGGCGAGGCTTAATATAACGAAGATGCTCACCTAACTTGCAATTTGCAAACCACATTTGATGTCTAATCTCTTAATAGTTTATACTGAAAATCAACTTTGGAGATCGAATGAACCTTTCTTCAATGTTTGTAGCTTCCTCCATCCCTTAGTTTAGTACTCCCTCCGTCCCACAATATAAGAACGTTTTTCAAGCTTGAAAAACGTTTTTATATTGTGGGACGGACGGAGTACCTCCTAACAGCAATAGGTCAGTTAATTACTAGTTAATTAGATGATCACATCACATGCATGATGCATGGACGTGTTAAGAATTGATAATTTTTGTGTCATCATCTCACTCAAGTTTTGATCCCTTCTCTTCTCCCTCTCTTCCTCCGGCTCCATGGGAGGAGCACTTCTGCTCTCTCTGCTCTGCTTCGCCTTCCTCAAAGGTACACTGTAGTTAACATTAATCACTCTTTATTTGTGTTCCTGTGCCACTGTTAATAAGTTTGTTAATGCGCTTCTTAATTTTTGTGTTAAATTTCCAGTTACTATTAGTTAAGCTTGTATCTCATCAATGGACACAATATATGGATTTTGTACTTAATGGCCACCAGGAGCAAGCCCTTCGACGTTCACAGTGAAGAACAACTGCGGCTATACGGTGTGGCCGGGCATCCTCTCCAACGCCGGCGTGGCGCCGCCGTCCACCACCGGCTTCGCGCTCTCCCCGGGCGAGTCCCGTGCCGTGACTGTCGACGATGGCTGGTCCGGCCGCATGTGGGGCCGCATGCTCTGCGTGCAAAGCTCCTCCTCTAGCGCCGGCTTCGCCTGCGCCACCGGTGACTGCGGCTCGGGCACAGTCGAGTGCTCCGGCCACGGTGCGGCCCCGCCGGCCACGCTGGCCGAGTTCACGCTCGCTTCCATCGGAGGCGACGACTTCTACGACGTGAGCCTCGTCGACGGCTTCAACGTGCCGGTGCTGGTCGCGCCGGCGAACGGGAGCTGCCCGGCCACGGACTGCCCCGCCGACCTGAACGCGCAGTGCCCGCCGGAGCTGCGCGTCGTCGTGGCCGGTGCGGTGGTGGCGTGCCGGAGCGCGTGCGAGGCGTTCGGGACGGAGGCCTACTGCTGCAGCGGCGAGCACGGGACGCCGGCGACGTGCGCGCCCACGGCCTACTCCCGGCTGTTCAAGGCCGCGTGCCCGCGCGCCTACAGCTACGCCTACGACGACGCGACGTCCACGTTCACGTGCGCAGGCGGCAGTGCCGGCTACGGCGTCGTGTTCTGCCCCGCCGGCGGGTCGAGGTACGCTCGTTGGGTCATTGTCGTTGGACGTGCTCGGCACGTCGTGGCCATTTGGCATTTCGATCGCTTCTTTTTCTTTTGGACGTGTGCATGTGGACAGCGTAGCATGCATCATGCACGGCTTGACACGAATTATATTACTGTTAAATTAACTAGTACTCTATATTATTATGTGGACACGAATTATATCTAGATGTACTTTAGCAAAACTGTAGTATTATATTATGTGATGAACCTCTTTTTTAAGATATTATGTGATATTCCCTTAAAAAAATTATTATGTGATAAACCTACCGATCCCAACTCTCCATACAAGGCATCTTTATGCTTAAATGAGATGCTAACTTTTTTTTTTGCGGAGAAATGAGATGCTAACTGCATGAAAGGAAGTACTCCCTCAGTAAAGAAGTATAAGAGCATCTAGATATACTTTAGTGATTTAAACTATTATATTTCTTTCGGAAGGTAGTAGTAACTAAACTCTCAATGCATGGGTGATTAACTCCCTTTAGCTATACTTCATTTAATTATTTAGCAACTAAACTCTCTCGTGCATAATCATCAGTTTGCATAGTTTCACATGTTTGGGTGATTGGGTCACCAAACTAGTTTCGGGCATGGCAGAGGTCTCAATCTATTCGAGCAGCAAAGTTGAGTTATTGGCAGTTTTCTAAATTTTGGAGGTGGGATAGGGGTACTCTCCTTGAGATGCTCTCTGCTCATGCTCAAATTGGCCGCAATGTGTGCGCGAGTTGTCAGTTTACAAGTAACATGGTAGCGTCAGTAGTTTCCCTTGGGCTTGCAGAAATAGTTCATTTAGCTACAGCAATCTAACAACGATATACACGCATGTACATCATTCATGAGCTAATACTGATACTTTTCTCTTGTCCTGGACCCAGTGGGAACCAGGTGTCGCCACCGACAAGTGCCGCCTACCCACCAATGGTGTTCTCGTCTCAGGGCGCAGATCCGGCGACAATCACCCTCCTTCCTCTCCTCATGGCCATCTTTCAAGTGATGTCGATGCAGTGAACTGGGTGATCCGAAACATTCAGCAAAATTTGCTGGAGGATGGAACCGGGCTCGGTTGGCATTCACCCAAACAAACGGCAGATTCGTCGCGATGCCAACCTGCACCGCAAAGAACACTTCAGGTTCCTCCTCGACCGGGCAGTTCCTCCTCGACTTGGCAGTGGCATGGTTTCGGAGTGTGTTCTCTCGGATCCCACCCGAGCAGTATTAGGCCATGTGGCAAATTTTGTTTAGATGCTCTGTATTTTGGAGAGATATTACATTTTTCATATCGAGGCGCGGACCTAGAGAGAGTCTTCTTCTTTCAGGAGCTGGCAAATGTGTACATGAATAGATAGAGTGCAATTAAGTTTGTTCGAGTTTTCACCATTCAGAGTTCTTTGAGTACCTCCAATAATAACCCTCTTAAAGGTTGAAACAAGGCAAAATGAGGGAGAAAAAAAAATAGCAGATGCACTGGAGACACATAAAAGGCAGAACAAGATTTTTTGCTATGATGAACCAGAGATTACTTGTTTTTTATTAAGAGGGGCAAAGCCCTATGGATTCCATTTATAGACACCAAAACAGTCACTACACTCTACAGGGGCATTCTCCCAGCTACACTGAATGCTGCATACTGCAGACTACACAAGATTAATTGACAGCGCGTAGATGCGAAAAGGATTGGTTTACTCACTGTGAAGGGGGGCATCTAAGACGGTGATCACCTTACCAAAGCGCTTCGAGGTTCGCTGTGCCCATTCACAGACCCTTGGTAAAATTCTTTCAAGGCCTATATTCCACTGGTAAGACTTATCACCCCATATTGCTTCTGTGAGCCTTGGTTCGATTGTCAGCTGCTCAAGTACAAAAGCATTTCCCAAGATAGAGCACGCCAGCTCAATCTGAGACTTGTAACACTGAAACCCACCCATGAAGACCGTCTTAAGATGATCATGGCGACACATACAGGGACCTTCCGCCCCCGCCACCTCGGCACTGAAGAAAGCACCGGGACTCAGATAGTGCATCTGCATTGGAAACTTGCAATCATTCGGTCAAACTAATCAAACTACAATTCTTTCTTGAAGGTTCATATATTTAGTCAACAAATGAAATGGTACTCACATGCAAGTGCAACGTCTCCAGTCGGGGTGCAGCGTCCAACCAATGGGCCAGTTGAAGAAGTCCATTATCTTCATTTAATTCTCTACAATAGACGACAATTTGACAAGTCATATGCCTCAGATGCATAAACATGCCCTGTGGTCTTAATGGCAGCTCCAGGGACTGAAACATGACAGGAACAAATAAGATGACACTGACAGTAACACCAAGTTTCAAGAATTATGAGGTAAGCTAAAAGAAAAAAATTAAGATAACCTGTGCATATGTTGATATAATAGCTCGCACAATTAATATCTTCACTGGGGAAATGCTTGTAATTATATTGAATGCATGGGCCAGTGCATAAGGATTAGTGGTATCAAACGCAATTGTTGCCTTCTCTAATTTTGAGCAACCATGAAGCACTATAGGGATCAGTCGTCCTTCATACTCAAAATGAGCAAGATCAGCTGCATGAATAACAACCATCTGGACATCCGTTCCAGCAATCAGCAAATTTTGAAGTTTATCGAGTCTGTTTGGTACGATGAAGTCATCCACACCAGAACACCTGATGATCTCTAAGTCCTCAAGTCTTGAACAATTTGCAAGCAAGCCTGGAAAATCTCCAAATATCTGAACAGATTTCAAAACAAGCCTTCTGAGTATTGTAAAGCGGCATATTCCTGAGCTTGGCTTTATAGAAACACTGGCGAGAGACAAGGACTGCACAAGTGAGCTACCTTGAGCATCTAAGGCCTCAAGAGGAAAATGGGGAACTTCTTCAACTGGGTAATCAAATATCTTCAAATCAAAATCCATTGTTTTTGCCTTTGATGAAGCGGCAAACTCAATCCACCTGTCAAGATGTTCAGAGTCCTCGATGAGCAGGCCACACTTGATGCTGAACTTATTGATTCCTACCCCACTATGCTGTTGAATAACTGAATTTACAGTCTCAATGAACTTTGCTCGTGTTATTTTGGTACCACACTGATTAGTGGATTGGTCATTGGTGCCAGTGCCATTAACCTGATCAGCGGAATTGTCATCGGTGTTAGAATCCACATCACCGCGTTCATTGAAACATAGATCGCAGTGGAATCTCCAGAGCATTCTCCAACTTCTTGAAACAATGCTTGTCCTCACGGCCTCTTTCAGTGGCAGCAGTGAGATTATAACCGGCTGAACCTCCTGCGACAAGAGAGGACCTGAATTTTTAGAGGGGTTGCATTTTATCTAAAAGTAACTGGCTGACACAATGAGCTGAAAGTGCATGTATTTTGAAGGAGAAATACGAGCAGATGCAAGCTGCAGTTTTTTTCACTGTAGTTTCACCAATTAAGCAAGATGCCCAATTCAAATCAATGAAGGCCACAGCAGCAAATCCCACAAAACAGCAGTCTTTTTTGTCCCAGAGTTCCAGATCCGTCGCCCGTCTAAGGGGGAAATTGAGGAACTAATAATGGAATGGAAGTTACCGCCGGAAGGTCCTCCATGCGGAAGGACGGCCCGTCGGCGACGCCGTGGTAGTGCTCCGACCTTCTCCTCTTGGCCGCCGCCGCCGCCTCTTCCATGGGCTGCTGCAGGGAAGGAGGGAGGAACCCTAGGTTAACAGAGAAAAGGAGGGCACTCCGCAGATCGATCCATCCATGGAGGAAAACCTAGGTTAACAGAAGGAGGGAGAAGATGATCACCTGTCGATCTAGAGAAGGGGGATGGGGAGGAGGAGCTGCTTCGTCTTCCCCGGCTCCGGCCATCTCTGCTCTGCTCCTCTCCGACCAGAGGAGCTCACTTCACTTCGACTTTTTTTTTACACAAGAGGAATGCAATGGGAAGTGGAGGTGCGGTAACTCTCTCTGTGCCTTCGGTTTAGAGCATCTAGTATGGCATTTGTTGTGGTAGAATAGATTCCGCAAAAATCTTTCATGTTAGATGTAGAGTCCATTTGTGAGTAGTTAAATTTACAACCGGATCCCTAAGAAGTAACACGAAAACCCTGAAAACAAAATGTAAATTACAATTTGATTCATTCCATGGCGCCTGCATCGTCCGCAGGCGTGGCGTGCTCGAGTCAGGCGCAGCGTGCTTTATTAGGACCGCCTTGAAGAGATCATGGAGGCCGAGCAGCGATCCGTCGAGCGGGCCCTTGAAGCATATCGCCTTCGCCTCCATCTCGTACACAGCGCGTAGCGCGGTAGCCGCCGCACCCGGTCGTGGCCGGCAGCTTTCGTGGTGGTGCGGCCAAGGAACCCGACTGCCTCGTTCACCCTCGGGACGACCTCGTCTCCCCACGCGCCCCATGTCCTCGATGGCGTCGTCGGTGATGCGCAAAAGGATGCTCCCCATCTTGCAGATGCCCTCTATTCAATTTACAGGATCTACTAGAGATGCTCTTAGTCGGTTTAGAGCATCTCTACCAGATGCCACTAATTTAACCAATGACAGCCATTCCCACGTGAGGATAATTTATCCTCCGCCTCTTATGCCTAGCCAATATTTACTCCACCACTCGGCGCGGGAGTAAAAAAAATCCACTCTTCTTTCTGCCTCCTCTACCTCTTCCCCTCCCCCATCCCCGCTGTCGGCGGCCCTTCCTCCCGTCGTTCCCCACCGCTCCCCTCCTCCCAATGGCCAGATCCTATGGCCGGCAGTCCCCACTGATGATCCGCAGCGCGGATCCACGCGCTGCCATGAGAGTCGCAGGGTCCTCAAGCGTCGTCGACACCGCGAGACTGCAGCCTCATCGGGCCACCTCGCAGGTTTCCTCGAACTCCCTACACTGCGGCAACCGCAGAGGAAGTAGTTGGGAGTCCGATAGTGCGGTTAGGGATGTGGGTGGCGGAGATCACGGACCGCGACACCCACAAGCGCCATTGGCTTGGATCCTTCCACACGACCGAACTCGCTGCCCTCGAGTACAACCGGTGGCAGGTCCAGGTGCATGACTCCACGGCATGCCTCAACTTCCCTTGGGGAACAGCGCTCGTCGAGCTCGAGTTGTCGCCACTGGGGGTGGTGAGTGCGGCGGTGGCCAGGGAGAACCGAGAGGCAAGGGAAAGCATCGCGTCAGACGGCATTGACGAGGAGTACATGGTAGACCTCTGCCGCCAGTACCCCGAGCTCGTGGAGACGGAATGAAAGATCTTCGCGGAGCGTGTGGTCGACGGGGAGGTCATGATCCTCTTCGGCGATGAGCCGCATGGTGGCGGCGCCGGTGGCAACGACGAGAGGACTTTGACATGGAAGAATGGTGGTGCATCTTCCCCTACTGCGGCAATGACAACACAGGGTCGGAGCCGTCTGGTGAGATGTCGCAGGTAGATTGGCTCGCCCTCTACAAGGGTCATGATGAAGATTAGTTTAGTTTAATTTTATGTTTAATTTTATGTTTAAGTTCATGTTTAGATTTAAAAACTCATGTCCGGTGGGATGTGAAGACAAGGCGGATGATTATGTGTCGAATTTCGGTTGTTTAAATCAAATGTAGGTTGAACTTATGCAAATTTGGTTTTTACTCTGTTAAATAGAAGAGTTCGGCTAGGTCTGACCGAAAGTTGGTGGGGTAAAAATTCTCCACCAAGCTTTGATCGTCCGCATCCTCCTCTATTTTATAGGGTATCGGTTAGAGTTAGCCTAAAGGCATCTATAATCGGGCTTTGTAAGAGCATCTAGAATCACACGTAGCGGATTCTTTGATAGGCACAACAGAAGAGGAACATGGTCTTTAAACTACGGCCAAACGACGAAATCGTCTCTGATCATGAAGCAGGCATGGCATCTGTATCTTTTTACCACTTCAGTCACATGCTTGGCACTCCAGCTATACGCAATTCTATGATCAATCTGGACGTCTTGGAGCTGCAGGCCGCGGACCTCAGCGAGCCGGAAGAATCCGATCAAATCACTGACATGATGCAGATCACATACTTCCGGCTGATAAGTGTTGGGTATATTGATTATTAGGAAAGTTATGATAGTGTGATCATGTACTTCTATATATCT